GGGGACGCCCTAATTCAGAAACCAAGAAAGAACAAACAAGTAATTTTGACGCCGCCTCATATCAGTGGCTTTGGGCGTAGGAGGCTTCGGGGTTTCCGATACAGAGTGCAAGGGTTGAAGGGCTGTGGGTTTAGGGACTGGGAGGGTTTGAGGAGCTTAGGTGTCAGATGTTTTTTTTTCAAGTCAAGGTTCCAAAGTGTAGAGGATGGGTTGACTGCTCCCCCTGTGCGGGTGACAGTGATCTTCTATCACGTAAAGTCAATGGGGCTTTTAGGATGCTGACCATGGAGATGATGCTCATGGTGTCATGGGGAGGCATTGCTTGGCCGTCTTTCCGCGTTGGACAAGCAGCGACTTTCCATCCAAAGACTACACCTCCGACTCAAGCTGTAAGCCCTTACCCACATCTAGCCCAAGCTTCAAGCAAGTAATACCCCGTTGAGTCTCTCATAACTGTTTTTAGCTTCGCAATATAGCTACCCCAAGAGCAAGATTTCGAATGCTTTGAAACTTTGTTCTTGTCGCTCTGGACGCAGATGAGCGGAAACCGGTGGAGTTTGACAACGCACAGGGCTCAGCACAGCTATGCATTTTAGGTCTATGGTTTGGGGCCTAGGGCTTCAGAGTGCCCAGGGAGCCCAATACCCCTCAGTAAAGGAATATACGTTACATCCTTTACAGGCTCCCAGTATCATTTATTGCATGTATCTTGTTCAATAAACAGTGGGCCCTCTGCATGGTTCGTCTACCGTATGCGGTCATTGTTGAACTATTTAACTAACTTTCAGGTTTTGGTGATGACGTAGCTTCCCAACCGTGTCATAACAAGGAGCCTAAACCCTAAGCCCCTAAACTCCAAGCCAATTTAAACCAAATGACATTACGTGGGGGATTGACGCAGTGATCTCCTCGAGATCGAAAACACTGCTTTCCGATGAAATGTTCCTCTGCACAGAGTTAGATTAGAAGTTGTACATATCCCAAAGGTCATGTAGGTATATGGTCTTATATAGTATATCATATGCTTTGTGCCAAATGGAATTCAAGCCATAGACGACATAGCTACCTGGAGGTTTTGGGATAGACACTTGCGCTTTTTGAAAGAGCTGCCATGTGCTGCAAAGCACCCCAAAATGAGAGCAAGCCTCCTGCAGCCAAATTAGTCGAGAAGTTCGAAGCGCGATTCAGGGTTCAGCGTGTAGGGCTAAGGGTTCAGGGTTTAGGACATAGGGTTCAGGGGCTGAGCTAGCAATTTACTTGTTGTTGCGAAAGGATGGCGGAAGGGATCCCCAAAGTAGCCCTTCAAAGTCCTCAGGGATGTCCTGTTTTCCAAATACGGTTCCAGTCCTTCATTCCCTAAACCCCTAGACCCTAAACCCCAAGCCCTAAACCCGAAGACCAACACAATCAGCAAGACGAGCCTCGGCGAAGGTGGGGCTTCAGCGTCAGCATTGAGCTTATGTTGTCAGGGTCTAGGGTTGGCCTTCAGAATGAATTGAAACCTGCCTCCTTGTACCAAGAACTCCCGAAAGGGCATCGCAAAAGGAAGACGCGGCAATATGGAGCCGTACTATTGGCAATTACTCAGAGTTGTCATGTTCCATGTTCTTTTCGTTTTGATTCTCCATCATTTAAAATTTGGGGCATGCTTTACGTTGCGCGCCTAGTGTCTTGCTCGCCTGTACACGCTTATCGGAATACCATTCAAGCTCGAGAACTTAGGGTAACACGGAGGGAGTAGAATGGGAAGTGCAGGCAATAAGTTAGCTACAACCAACCCTAAGCCCTAAACTCTAATCCATAAACCCTAGACCCTATAGCCTTGTTATACACACACACACACGCCTATTGCAAAAGCAGCGCAGGTTTCCGTGAAACTCTCAACAGACTTCGACTCCCTTACCTACACACAAGCTCTAAGAATCCCAGTTCAGGGGCCCTCTCTAAAGAAGACCCGCTAGTCAGGGTCTAGGGCTTAGGGCCTCTTTTGCAATGTTGAAGGGGCTGCGCCCCGATTAAAAAAGTTCAAGCTTGTCCTCCATTATCATGTATTTTCCCGCAGCCTAAATTGCCTTTGGTACCATGCAAATCTGAAGGACTGTGAGCCCTGGATAGTAGGACACTGGGCATCATGCGCTGTCTTGTTCTGGAAGATAACGCTGGGCAAAATTGCCAATGACCTCACCCCAAATGGGCTATAGTCTAAACTCTCAGTGTCCCCCTTAATCAGCATCGTCCCCTATATAACTCCCTTTAAGGAGTTTAGACCTCACTCCAAATAGTTTCTAATGAAGGAAACTGTACCAAAACAACCTTATGTCAGGCTTTGGACGGATCCATTACGGATGACCTAACCACCCCCTCTCGTATAGGGGCCCAAATATTTCGGGAACCTACTATAAGCGCCTAAATACTTACCAATATTATTAGTGTTTAGGGTTTGGGGGGCTTAAATAATTACCAATGTTAATATGGTTCGATACTCCTCATATAATTATGGTCTAGGGTACCTCAAATGGACTTCAAATGTTATTGGCAATTATTTAGGCCCCTGTAGTATACCACCTCCCCGGTTCCGGATTAGGCTTATTTAGGATTCATGGAGGGTAATTTGGACATTGGCGGGGTGTGGTAGCACCGGGGGGGTTAGTAGAACATATAAACTTAGCCAGCCCTAAACCCTAAGTCGCAAAGCTTAGGCCCTAAACCCTAAAGGGTTTAGGGTTTAGGGTTTAAACCCTACGCCAGACAAGGTCAGGTGGGTGAACACCATGTCTTACTCGGATGACGGCAAGGTCGTCAAGGTACCTGGATTCTTTTAAGATACTTCGAGGATGCAGAGTTCAGGGATTAGGGGTGGACGTGAGGGCGAGTGAACCCTCATAGCAATCAATAATCCCTATGTTGTCCCTAACAATGGTGCCTACATGACCACTAGAATCGTACCCAACTCCACCTTAAGCGCCAGTAACCTTGGCTCAGTCATGGTAAAGCTGGGTGCAACAAAACCACACGCTGAAAGGGGCCGTAGCTGTTAACAGGGCAGTACGATCCTAAATCCGAAGTCTCAAGTTCATGAGTGTCTATCAGCCTACGCTTATAGTCCCCCTGAAGCAGATAGAATATGGGGTATATGGGGATCTTGTTGTGATAGTGGGCAATGCCATATTTTATCTACCTAAGGGGGACTGTAATCTACCTTTGGGACAGCCCGTGAGGATGCATTGGGAGTAGGGTGTCTCGAAGGGGTTTAGGATTTAGGGTTTAGGCCTTAAGGGTTTAGAGTTTAAGTTTAAGGGTTTAAGGTTTAGGGTTTGGGGCTTAAGCTTTTGGGTTTAAGGCTTAGGGTCCTCCATCCTCAACCTTCCCTGATCCCTGGCTTGAAGCCCTTGATGCCAGGCTCCTGTATGCTGGGCCACAGCCATGTTTTGATTACCTTCTTCTGCTTCCCTTAACAGGGTTTGGGGTTTAAGGTTACCCAAAAGGTCCACGTGCTACAATGCAGGGGCTTCCCAACATTGAATGTCCCTTCGGGGGGTCTTGAGAATAATGCCCCCAAACCCTAAACCTTAAACCCTAAACTGGGATAATGAATAATGGTTACATGTAGTTTCATAGTGCGACCCTCACATTGTATACATAGAACATGCTCATGTCCCAAGGTACATAAACAGGAACCTCTCAAGGCCCCGAGTATTCATAACATATGGTAGTTTCCCCCAAAAAGAGGGAACCCAACTCCAAAATCTGGTAAACGTGCCTCCAAAAGATTCCCCTAATTTTGGAAAATGCCACCCTAATACAATGTACCTGGACTCTTTGGGTTAGCTGGCCATTGCAGAGGCGTCTGACGCAAATTAGAGGCCTTCAGGGGCAGTAGTGAAATTCTATTCCACCCCTAGACGTACGTAGTATATGGACGATTATAGGGGGTAATAGGGGTTGTTATAATGGGATTACTCTAAGCGCTCTAGGGGAGTAGACTATGCAGCGACTGAGGAGCAATTTACTTCCTGGTGCTAGAGGGGAGTGGGGTAGGGAATATGGCGCTCAATACCAGGCGATGCCCTAAACCCTCAGCCGCTTTTGTACATTTACACTCCTCCACTCTCCCTTACGCACCGGTAAGAAAACGACCTGAAAGGTGGCAGGGCTGAATTTTTTCTTACGTGCCGAAGACAGTAAAATCTCAAGTACCTTGCCTAGGCGAACGCCCGGCAACATGTTTTTTTTTTGGTTGGGGAGGGGGGTGGCTTTGCATTTTCAGCTGCTGAAGGGCCGGGAATGCAAAAAGGAACTCAGTTTTACTGGGTGTCGCATTTGGGCATTGGTACAGATGTCCACTTCCCAAAATCCGGGGTACCTTTTTGGGGGTCAGCGAAATAAGGATTAGTGTATTTTGGGGTTTATATTGGGGTCCCCTTATTTCGGAAATCTACTTGGAGGGTCAGGGGGACTTAGTAAGTAGGTTAATAATGGGGATAATTAGGGTTACGATTATTAACCTAGTTACTAATACCCCCTGACCCTAAACACTAAACTCTATAAACCCTATACGTACAAAGTTTTTCTGACCCTCCAAGTACCTTCTGTAGCACCAGCAAGCTGCAGGTTTACATTGATTTCCCAGAGGAGATCAAGGTGCAGCACACGGTTTAATGTTTAGGATTTGCACGGCGAGTTGCATGGGTTTTGTTTGGACATCCTAAGCACCCAGCTGGTTCTCTTAAGATCTATCCATTTAGCTACCATAGCTTTGAACATAACTTTTAGTGCTTATTACTCGTAATCCCTTGTAAATCCATATAAAGCCATGGAGTATGATTGCTTATGGGGCCCCTAAACCTACCCTACCAAACAGCAGTCGAGTAGCGGCGCTGACTTCGGCCGTGCACTCTAAATCCTAAACCCCAAACCCTAGCAATTCGGACCCATCAGGGGACGTGTACGAGGAGTCAGGTGGAACATGGTGGCGCATTGGGACTTGCAAAGCATGGACCAGGGGTCATTTGGGCGATTTTTAAAGCCCAAAGGGTCCATGTAAGTATATGGTATATACATAGGGCCCAAAGGGGTTCCCATATACCTACTTTAAGGGCTAAGCGAATACCATATAGCCACATAGACCCTTCGGGAAGTACTGAAATCATGACGTCGAAGTGCTGGTGGTAGGCGCAAATGTTCGCAGAAAATGCAGAAGCTAGACGATGCTTCTTGAACGCAACTGGCCTGCTCACGTCACCAAGCATCCTTTGAACATCAGTATGGTTGAAGGCCATATAGTGCCAGTTTCTGGAGTGCCTGAGCCTTCTGAGACTACCTCACCCTTTTCAGTATTAGTGTGGCCCTATGTGAAGCGAAGGGGTTTGCTGCTGTTTGCGCTTTGAAGTGGGAGGCATTTGCCAGCATGTTCGTGTTCAGCTTCAGTGCTTGGGGAAATCAAGAACCTCGTAGACTACATAGTTCAGAAGCTTGTCTCGGCAACTGTTTTTTTTTGTTGGGGAGACTACACGTGATTTGGAGACTGCACGGGTGGATAGAATTCAACTCGGGGCGATTCTTTGCTTCTTCAATGAGCACCCTAAGCAGATAGCCCAAATTCGGAATCCCCATGCGGTTCAGGGTTAGGATTTAGGGTTTAGGGTTGTTAGCAACAGCGCCGCCGCAGCAGCAGCGGCGGCGGCGGCGGCGGCGGCCACAACAGGCTTTAAACCCTAAACCCCTAAACCATAAACCCCTTAACCCTACATGGTAGTTTCCATTTCATTGTCCAGTCTCCCAATATAACACCAATGTAAACCCAATATAGTCTATCTACTTAAGGGGGACTATATTTTCCTAATGAAGGATAAACCACAGGGAGAGAGAGAGAGAGAGAGAGAGATATATATATATATATACATACCCTATGACCCCTACAAAACCCCTATTAAACCCTATAGTTCCAATAGTTTCCATGTTCTTTTCCATTATCCCCACATAACCCCAACCCTAAACCCTGAACCCCCAAAACCCTAAACCCTAAAGCCTGAAGCTCCAGGCGTGGCCAACGACCATGCCGTCATCACCAGGCTCTGCGGCGCAAGCTCGGCGCACCTCCCATGGCT